AGTAGTCAGGAAGTGGAATAGTTTGGGAAGCGATATAGTGGAGGCAGGATCCATTCATAGCTTTAAGCAGAGGTATGATAAAGCTTATGGTGCGGGGAGAGTGACCCAGTAGCGGCCAGTAAAGAGGCGGGGCCAGGAGCTATGACTCGACCCCTGCAACCACAACTGAGTACACACACACACACACAATTGTAGGGCGTCTTCAGTATTTTTTAATCAAAATCTCTTCACTGGCTTTAACACATGATTTTGGAAAAGTCTTCTTAAGAAAAACGGCTAAACACTTACTCTGATCTTCCTTGATAACTGGAGACTGCAGTTTCTCATTTAAATTATGATAATATCAAATACATTTGAGGCCCTCATACATGAGAAATTGATGAAAGTTTAAGCTGATTTGAGGATACAAGCTCCATGAATCTCCGAGGCAGTAGAAGCAACATAAACTTGGTTTCTTTATCCAGTGGAGTCATAGAACACTACAACAGACTACCCTCTGAAGTTCTCACACAAACATATTATAGTGCTTTAAGAACACTGTAAGACAAGCTCTTTACAAACGAAGAAATAGAACGCAATTGTCGCCTACTTTTACCAGAAGTCCAACTCTACAAGAGCAACAGACTACTGGAGAGCGAAGTGTACCGGAAACCAATAACTAGGACCTCTTCCATTTCTTCTCAAATCACAACACACTCGTTGAGAGAGGCGTTGTAATTGTTTTTTTGTTTTTTTGAGAGCGTTGAGAATTTCCAGCCCTTATTATGTAGATGTGTGTAGTTATACACACAACTTTTTCTCCAGGCTACATTACCGAGCACATTATATCATTGAATGTAAGAGAAAGGCAGAAAGGAGCAACACAGCTAGACAACAACACAAAAAGGAGAGATTCGTCGTCCTGCCTGTTAGCCAAACCTCCTGAGAATATACATAAATGTAGGTGCCAAGAGCGAGGCTAGAAGAGTCGACCTATCTTCCAGCACCATTCAGGATCCCGTGGCGACTAGAAACGGACAACACTTTAAAACCAACACCGGGATATACTCCATCCCGTGTGGGTCATATGATGGAACTTATGTTGGGGAAACGTCTATAAGCCTCACATAACAGCTGTGAACGCCGTTGGGCTTGACTTGAATGACACAAGTATTGTTCTTCATCACGAAACTTGCGAACATCATGTTCTTCAAGAATGTCAAAGTCATCAAGAAATCTGATCTTCGCATCAGACAATGTTTAGTCATTATTCATTGCTACCAGAAATAAACTCAAAACATAGGGAGTTTTATCATACCCAAAGTACTTGCGCAAGTCCTATTCCTTCCTCCCCACGTACCTGGTGACGCACTCTGACCTCCGTGACCAAAACTCCGCGTCTCGTTATCTGTACTGGAATTCAATAGCGCCTGATAGTAAAAGTATCCTCGATAAATGTGTTAATACTCGCGTACGTGTCTTTCTCACATAACGAACCAGAGAAGACAGTAAAGAAAAAATCGCCGGACCGGACACCACGGATACTCGAAAAAGGAACTGGCGTACAGAGTACTTGATATGCCGCGGACATATTGTGGATCTGGGCGATTTCAAATAGCCGTCTCTTCCTCTGGCCAAGAGTGCTTGTTGCCTGATTGGGTTCATACGCTGGTGAAATCAACTTACACCTCCACCCACTTCACCGCCTCATCCTCCACCTCCTCCACTTCCTCTTCCTAGGAAGACAGCTCTTCGCATGAAGGATTAAATGGGCCTTGAATTTACTCTTCGAATGAGAGCAGAAGATGGGGGAAGAGCAAAGATTTATATATATATAATATATATATATATATATATATATATAATATATATATATATATATATATATATATATATATATAATATATATATATATATATATTTATTCTTTCAACACACCGGCCGTATCCCACCTAGGCGGGGTGGCCCAAAAGGAAAAACGAAAGTTTCTCCTTTTACATTTAGTAATATATACAGGAGAAGGGGTTACTAGCCCCTTGCTCCTGGCATTTTAGCCGCCTCTTACAACACGCATGGCTTACGGAGGAAGAATTCTGTTCCACTTCCCCATGGAGATAAGAGGAAACAAACAAGAACAAGAACTAGTAAGAAAATAGAAGAAAACCCAGAGTGTGTATATGTATGCTTGTACATGTATGTGTAGTGTGACCTAAGTGTAAGTAGAAGTAGGAAGACGTACCTGAAATCTTGCACATGTATGAGACAAAAAAAAGACATCAGCAATCCTACCATCGTGTAAAACAATTACAGGCTTCCGTTTTACTCACTTGGTAGGACAGTAGTACCTCCCTGGGTGGTTCCTGTCTACCAACCTACTACCTAGGATATATATATATATATATATATATATATATATATATATAATATATATATATATATAAATTAATATATATATATATATATATATATAATATATTATATATAATATATATATATATATATATATATATATATAATATATAAGCCTTGGACCTGTTGAGGTCCAAGGAACAAATGAGTGTTGGACCTGTCCTTGGTAAGAGGAGGAACAAGATGGCGGAGAGCAGAGATCAGTCTTGAATCAGGTAACTAACGCTGCATAGCAAGACTGAAGCCCGAGAATTTTTTTTTTTTTTTTTACCGGTTCACTTAATAAGTTTAAGAACAGCCTACCTAAAATATACAACCTAAAATATACAACCCCCTCCTCCCCCTCCCCAAGATGCTACCTCAGCCATGGGTAAACCGAGGCACGTTTAAAATAAAGACTTGCCAGCGTCCACAGCCGCCCAGGGTTGAACCCGGATTTTTCGATTATTCTCGATTCATAAATATGAAAGGAAGACTCTATAAGACCCCTTCGTGTGATCTTCGAAGTTCATTATTTAATCATTAAATTCATATAATCATACTCAGCAATGTAATAAAAACTATTAAAATTTATTGATTATATTTAAACACATAATAAAAACATCTGACTGATGGCGAGATTTACTGTGTTCTCTGAATACCAACAGTTCTCAGAAACCCTCTTCGTTTTCTAAGAACGGCATTTGCATCTGTTTCTGAACGACGTTTCGCTCTCTAATACTAACGATTAAGTTCGTAGTGGATGAAACGTTGCCTCAATAAAATACCATAAGCCTCAAGCCGTGTCCTATTCACATACTGGAACTTAACACCATTGATACGCATAACATGTATTGTCTAGTGAAGAGCATGTGTCAGCATAGTTGCTGATCCCTGTGTTGAATAGCATATCAGTATCATCCATGTGCTTTAGATAGGAGATCCCTAGGCCTGTGACTGTTTGTGTGACGTTACGGGATGCGCATGTGTACGTTCGTACCTCTGCCTCCGTCTCAGTCGACACTTAGACATCCAGGCTAGTACACGGCAAGGCTGGGCTCCACCTCCCATCATCACAGTTTGGCAATATATCGTTACCATCCAACAAGTGTGTCTACCTTCAACCCTCGATATCTCCATTTAAGAACCCCTACGATACATGTGTCACCCAGTGTGGAGCATGTGTCACCCAGTGTGGAGCATGGAGCATGTCACCCAGTGTGGAGCATGTCACCCAGTGTGGAGCATGTGTCACCCAGTGTGGAGCATGTGTCACCCAGTGTGGAGCATGTGTCACCCAGTGTCGAGCATGTGTCACCCAGTGTCGAGCATGTGTCACCCAGTGTCGAGCATGTGTCACCCAGTGTCGAGCATGTGTCACCCAGTGTCGAGCATGTGTCACCCAGTGTCGAGCATGTGTCACCCAGTGTCGAGCATGTGTCACCCAGTGTCGAGCATGTGTCACCCAGTGTCGAGCATGTGTCACCCAGTGTCGTGCATGTCACCCAGTGTCGAGCATGTGTCACCTAGTGCGGAGCATGTGTCATCCACTGTGGAGCACGTGTCACCCACTGTGCACGTGTCACCCATGTGACAGTGTCACCCATGTGGACATGTGTCCACCCAGTGTCGTGCAGTGTCACCCAGTGTCGAGCATGTGTCACCCACGTAGCATGTCACCCATGTGAGCAGTGTCACCTAGTGCGGAGCATGTGTCATCCACTGTGGAGCACGTGTCACCCACTGTGGACCACGTGTCACCCACTGTGGACCACGTGTCACCCACTGTGGACCACGTGTCACCCACTGTGGACCACGTGTCACCCACTGTGGACCACGTGTCACCCAGTGTGGAGCACGTGTCACCCAGTGTGGAGCACGTGTCACCCAGTGTGGAGCACGTGTCACCCAGTGTCGAGCACGTGTCACCCAGTGTGGAGCAGTCACGTGTCGGACATCACAGTGTCGAGCACGTGTCACACCAGTGTCGAGCATGTGTCACCCAGTGTGGAGCAGTTCACCCAGTGTGGAATCAAAGTGTCACCCAGTGTGGAAGTGTCCAGTGTGGAATGTGTCACCCAGTGTGAGCATGTGTCACCCAGTGTGGAGCACGTGTCATCCAGTGTGGAGCAAGCACGTGTCACACAGTGTGGAGCAAGCACGTGTCACACAGTGTGGAGCATGTGTCACACAGTGTGGAGCATGTGTCACACAGTGTGGAGCATGTGTCACACAGTGTGGAGCATGTGTCACACAGTGTGGAGCATGTATCACCCAGTGTGGAACAAGTGTCACCCAGTGTGGAACATGTGTCACCCAGTGTGGAACATGTGTCACCCAGTGTTAAGCATGTGCCACCCACAGTGGAAACACGTGTACACCATGAGGACACTGTCACCCATGAGTGACAACGTCACCCAGTTTGGAGCCACGTCACCCAGTGTGGAACACGCATCACCCAGCTTGGACCATGTGTCACCCAGTATAAAGCATGTGTCACCCACAGTGGAACACGTGTCACCCAGTGTGAACCACGTGTCACCCAGTGTTAAGCATGTGTCACCCAGTGTGGAGCATGTGTCACCCAGTGTAAATCTCATGTGCCACACGAACACCAGTGAACATTCACTTACGTGACATCCTTGAAGGTTGCACGCCTACACAAGCCTGAAGTCACAAACACACCCTCTTTCTCGCCTACGTAAGACCCACTCTTGGCATTCCCTCGTTCTTGTTAAATTTGGAATTCAATGTCGGAATTTTCTGCTTTCCTTGTCCCTTGTTTTTAAGTAAGTTGCGTCAGTGCGAGTCTCTCAGCCTTATCAAATAACGAAGTTCGGTTTATTTAGTATTCTGGAAAACTTGGGTGCCACAGAATTGAAAAAACAAATATATCATTTTTTTGGTAATGACTTGATTAAGCTCTTACACAGAAGACCTAAATCGATAAGACTCTATACATTGAGCAAAACATGACTTTCATTAAGCTTTTCACAGTGAAACATGACTAGATAAAGCTCTTTCCAGAGCGAAACAAGGCCTGTTAAAGCTCTAAATTGAGCGAAACGTTATCACAGTAAAAGTGTCTTCTGTTCATGGGTCTCTTTTTTCTTCATTCCTCGCGGCTGTCCGAGTTTTTGTGAGACAGTAAACCACTCATTTGTTGATATCGTTTTTACAGGAAAATTCACTGAGCTTTTGTATTAGTTCACTCCTGTGACAAGCGAGTGTGTGTGCTCAAGTGTTGCTTCACTCCTGTGACAAGCGAGTGTGTGTGCTCAAGTGTTGCTTCACTCCTGTGACAAGCGAGTGTGTGCTCAAGTGTTGCTTCACTCCTGTGACAAGCGAGTGTGTGTGCTCAAGTGTTGCTTCACTCCTGTGACAAGCGAGTGTGTGCTCAAGTGTTGCTTCACTCCTGTGACAAGCGAGTGTGTGCTCAAGTGTTGCTTCACTCCTGTGACAAGCGAGTGTGTGCTCAAGTGTTGCTTCACTCCTGTGACAAGCGAGTGTGTGCTCAAGTGTTGCTTCACTAGTCCAAGCTACTGAGGCCCGAGGTTCAGGTTCTTAAAATCGATGTGTGCCCGATAAGATAAGAGATAACAGGCGTTGGTGCCGATATTTATTGGGAGTTTGTATACGCCTCTAGATGCCTCTTTCAAATTACCGTTTTTCTTAATATAGAAAAATCTGCGGAAGATGCGAGTACGAAGGAGTACGAGGTAATCATTCCCTGAGTCCGGAGACGAACACATCTCCAGGCTGAGGAACTGCTGGCCTTACAACTCCCTGCTTCAAGTTACCTTGAGTATGCATGGTTGAGCTGTAGTTCTTGGACCCTCCTCTTAACTGGACTCATAGCATCAAGTCTAGAAACATACGTGTTTTTATTTTATTTTTGTCCCCCCCCACTCATACAAAAACAAAAGTGTCTATCGACAACTACCTTTAATTAGCACCCCCGCACACTTGAGCCACAGGGATGTAATGAAGTACTTTCTTTAATCTGGGAAGCGGGGCCAGGAGCTAAGTATCGACCACCGACAAACAATTAGGTTAGTACAGACAGTGAAATAATATGAACATTAGTGAACTGAGCTGTTTCAATATTTTTTATCTATTAATCATACTGACGACGGTCACTCGAAAATTCACCTGAAATAAATCTCTCGTTAATGATCATTAACTTGAGGGTAATTGACTCTCACTTTCACTCATTAACGTCATTAGCGCTCCCTCAATAGCTGCTCATTACCGCTACTGCCCACCATCGCTCACTTTCACGAATTTTCACTCACTTTCGCTTAATATCGATCACTATAGCAAACTTTTCGCTCATTGCTGATTATTTCTCACTTTCGTCTTCTTTCCCTCTCATTATCTCTCTCTCTCTCTCCGATTTATCGAATACTTCCGCTTATTATTCGCTATTCATCATCGCTCACCATCTTTCACCATCACACATCATCGCTCACAATCTTTCACCATCACACATCATCGACCATCTTTCACCATCACTCATCATCGCTCACCATCTTTCACCATCACACATCATCGCTCACCATCTTTCACCATCACTCATCATCGCTCACCATCTTTCACCATCACTCATCATCGCTCACCATCTTTCACCATCACACATCATCGCTCACCATCTTTCACCATCACTCATCATCGCTCACCATCTTTCACCATCACACATCATCGCTCACCATCTTTCACCATCACACATCATCGCTCACCATCTTTCACCATCACTCATCATCGCTCACCATCTTTCACCATCACTCATAATCGCTCACCATCTTTCACCATCACTCATCATCGCTCACCATCTTTCACCATCACACATCATCGCTCACCATCTTTCACCATCACTCATCATCACTCACAATCTTTCACCATCACTTATCACTCACAATCTTTCACCATCACTCATCGCTCACCATCTTTCACCATCACTCATCGCTCACCATCTTTCACCATCACTCATCACTCACAATCTTTCACCATCACTCATCACTCACAATCTTTCACCATCACTCATCACTCACAATCTTTCACCATCACTCATCACTCACAATCTTTCACCATCACTCATCGCTCACAATCTTTCACCATCACACATCATCGCTCACCATCTTTCACCATCACTCATCATCACTCACAATCTTTCACCATCACTCATCACTCACAATCTTTCACCATCACTCATCGCTCACCATCTTTCACCATCACTCATCTCTTAGCCTCACATTACAGATGAGAAGCTTGAGCGCCGGCCGCTGTATATGCAAATAGAATTCAAATTTAAACCAAATAAATCGCTATTATTGTTTCACTTTTTTTTTCATTTTGGAGCCCCTCCGCCCCCCCCCCCCCCCGAAAAAAAAATAAAACACTCCTAACAGGAATGAACGGTCCGTTTAATTTCTCGCCTTCTGATTCTCACCGTTTCCACTCCCTTTTATTTTTCCCCACTTTTTTAGGAGAATTTGCTTGCTTAGCGTCTAAAGCGTATTTTGCCAATCTGAGAGAGAGTTTTTTTTTGCGTAAATCAGTTTTGAGAGTAAAGAATTTATCTTTTATTGTTGTTCAACAATACAATACTGAGTTTAGGCTCAGTTAAGATAGTTTGGGTAATGTAGTTTGGCAATAGTATATTTGTGTGTAACTGTTTATGGCCAAAATGTGTTTATGGCCAAGATGGGTTTATGGCCAAGATGGGTTTATAGACAAGATGGGTTTATGGCCAAGATGGGTTTATGGACAAGATGGGTTTATGGACAAGATGGGTTTATGGACAAGATGGGTTTATGGACAAGATGGGTTTATGGACAAGATGGGTTTATGGACAAGATGGGTTTATGGACAAGATGGGTTTATGGACAAGATGGGTTTATGGACAAGATGGGTTTATGGCCAAGATGGGTTTATGGACAAGATGGGTTTATGGACAAGATGGGTTTATGGCCAAGATGGGTTTATGGACAAGATGTGGGTGGCTTAAATGTGGGTGGCTAAGATATCTTTGGCTAAGATTAATGAATTGGCGGCAGAGGCGGTAACGGTGGTAACGGCAGCAGCGGCAGCGGCGGCAGCAGCGGCGGCAGCAGCGGCGGCAGCAGCGGCGGCAGCAGCGGCGGCAGCAGCGGCGGCAGCAGCGGCGGCAGCAGCGGCAGAAGCGGCGGCAACAGCGGCAGAAGCGGCGGCAACAGCGGCGGCAACAGCGGCGGCAGCAGCAGAGGCACAAGCCGCAGAAGCCGAAAAGAATCAGCAAAAAATAGCAGCAGCAACAACAACAACAGAAAAAGCAAAAAGGTAAAAAAAAAAGCAGAGGAAGAACGAAGCATCAGCAGCAGAATAAATACTTTATGGGGATACCTAAAAAAAAATATTTCATATTTCATTTCTGCTTGTTTGAGCACAGCGAGTCGAGAGCCAGGCTCTCGGGAGCACGTGAAGGAGTCGAGAGCCAGGCTCTCAGGAGCACGTGAAGGAGTCGAGAGCCAGGCTCTGGGAGCACGTGAAGGAGTCGAGAGCCAGGCTCTGGGAGCACGTGAAGGAGTCGAGAGCCAGGCTCTCGGGGGCACGTGAAGGAGTCGAGAGCCAGGCTCTTGGGAGCACGTGAAGGAGTCGAGAGCCAGGCTCTCGGGGGCACGTGAAGGAGTCGAGAGCCAGGCTCTCGGGAGCACGTGAAGGAGTCGAGAGCCAGGCTCTTCGGGAGCACGTGAAGGAGTCGAGAGCCAGGCTCTCGGGGCACGTGAAGGAGTCGAGAGCCAGGCTCTCGGGAGCACGTGAAGGAGTCGAGAGCCAGGCTCTTGGGAGCACATGAAGGAGTCCAGAGCCAGGCTCTTGGGAGCACATGAAGGAGTCGAGAGCCAGGCTCTCGGGAGCACGTGAAGGAGTCGAGAGCCAGGCTCTCGGGAGCACGTGAAGGAGTCGAGAGCCAGGCTCTCGGGAGCACGTGAAGGAGTCGAGAGCCAGGCTCTTGGGAGCACGTGAAGGAGTCGAGAGCCAGGCTCTCGGGAGCACGTGAAGGAGTCGAGAGCCAGGCTCTCGGGGCACTGAAGGAGTCGAGAGCCAGGCTCTCGGGAGCACGTGAAGGAGTCGAGAGCCAGGCTCTCGGGGCACGTGAAGGAGTCGAGAGCCAGGCTCTCGGGAGCACGTGAAGGAGTCGAGAGCCAGGCTCTCGGGAGCACGTGAAGGAGTCGAGAGCCAGGCTCTCGGAGCACGTGAAGGAGTCGAGAGCCAGGCTCTCGGGAGCACGTGAAGGAGTCGAGAGCCAGGCTCTCGGGAGCACATGAAGGAGTCGAGAGCCAGGCTCTCGGGAGCACGTGAAGGAGTCGAGAGCCAGGCTCTCGCGGGCACGTGAAGGAGTCGAGAGCCAGGCTCTTGGGAGCACGTGAAGGAGTCGAGAGCCAGGCTCTCGGGAGCACGTGAAGGAGTCGAGAGCCAGGCTCTCGGGAGCACATGAAGGAGTCGAGAGCCAGGCTCTCGGGAGCACGTGAAGGAGTCGAGAGCCAGGCTCTCGGGAGCACGTGAAGGAGTCGTGAGCCAGGCTCTTGGGAGCACATGAAGGAGTCGAGAGCCAGGCTCTCGGGAGCACGTGAAGGAGTCGAGAGCCAGGCTCTCGGGAGCACGTGAAGGAGTCGAGAGCCAGGCTCTCGGGAGCACGTGAAGGAGTCGAGAGCCAGGCTTCGGGAGCACGTGAAGGAGTCGAGAGCCAGGCTCTCGGGAGCACTGAAGGAGTCGAGAGCCAGGCTCTCGGGAGCACGTGAAGGAGTCGAGAGCCAGGCTCTCGGGAGCACCTGAAGGAGTCGAAAGCCAGGCTCTCGGGAGCACGTGAAGGAGTCGAGAGCCAGGCTCTCGGGAGCACGTGAAGGAGTCGAGAGCCAGGCTCTCGGGAGCACGTGAAGGAGTCGAGAGCCAGGCTCTCGGGAGCACGTGAAGGAGTCGAGAGCCAGGCTCTCGGGAGCACGTGAAGGAGTCGAGAGCCAGGCTCTCGGGAGCACGTGAAGGAGTCGAGAGCCAGGCTCTCTCGGGAGCACGTGAAGGAGTCGAGAGCCAGGCTCTCGGGAGCACATGAAGGAGTCGAGAGCCAGGCTCTCGGGAGCACGTGAAGGAGTCGAGAGCCAGGCTCTCGGGAGCACGTGAAGGAGTCGAGAGCCAGGCTCTCGGGAGCACGTGAAGGAGTCGAGAGCCAGGCTCTCGGGAGCACGTGAAGGAGTCGAGAGCCAGGCTCTCGGGAGCACGTGAAGGAGTCGAGAGCCAGGCTATCGGGAGCACGTGAAGGAGTCGAGAGCCAGGCTCTCGGGAGCACGTGAAGGAGTCGAGAGCCAGGCTCTCGGGAGCACTGAAGGAGTCGAGAGCCAGGCTCTCGGAGCACGTGAAGGAGTCGAGAGCCAGGCTCTGGGAGCACGTGAAGGAGTCGAGAGCCAGGCTCTCGGAGCACGTGAAGGAGTCGAGAGCCAGGCTCTCGGGAGCACTGAAGGAGTCGAGAGCCAGGCTCTCGGAGAGCACGTGAAGGA